AAAAACAAAAATCGCAATTCAAAATTTTTGAATGGATAAAAGTATTTCCTGAATTTTTGTTTTAGATAAAGAAAAATTCTAAACTTGTTAAAACCGGGCATTCTGTCGGCGGTTTTTTCAGAGAAGGCAACATAGTAACAGTAAAATAAAAATGTTCACGGTATATTTCACTGAAGGTTGGGGAAAAAAATTGCCGATTGTGGACGAGCTTTTTATTTTGCTTATGACGGAGGGATAAACATTATTGTTGCAAAAAGCAAATACATTTTTGCAACAGTCGTCTCTTTCCCCCGTGTAGTCTTGACTGTGGGGTAAGAGTATTTGCCTGGTGTACTGAAAATACTTATTATTTCCCTGGAATAATTTCCCCAATGGCTGGTAAAAAAAAAATTAAGAAATTTCCCGTTCATTGGCCCTGGGTTCCCCGGGGACGGTAGGTAGAATTCCCCTTGAGGTATCAAAATGGTGAGGCTTGGGAACAAAATTGGGATTTTTCTTCCAAAACCCACATAGGTTTTTTGGGGGATACTGGAATCAAAAGGGTGGTTGTAGGGGGTTGTGGGTTTTGGCGGGTTGTGGTGAGCTCCGCTTTGTCCCCTTTAAAATGCGGTCAGCAGCGGGGTCCCCCCCGGGGGCTGGTGAGTCGCATGGGAGTGCCAAAACCAAACCCCCAGACCACTAACACCATCCACTGATGCCTGTGGCCCATCCATGCCAAGTGTAGCCACATCATCCTCACTATCACTACTTAAAACGGGTGTAGGGCCACGGGATGTACTCCGGGATGTACTCCGGGATGTACTCCGTCCCCTGGGCACAGCATAGGGTACACTACCCGAGCGCATGCGGCGGCGAACATACCGACGCTTCACTGGTGAATATGATTCCTCACTATCACTACTCGAATGATCGTCGAGCGCAATAAAATCACAATCCACGTCAGAATCATCGTCATTACTGAAGTCAGAGGCCTGGCCATGCGAAAATATTAGTTTTCTCTTACGTTTAGGAACACCCAACCGTGAGTCACGAGTGCCCACACCAGAGGTAGAAGGTCGAGGATCGTTGGGGTTTTCTGCACTATTATCAATATCCTGGTCATTTTTTTCGGTCACTAACTTATCAAAGCCGTAGAATTCGTCTTCATTTGCACTTCCATCAGTGTCAGAACTATCAGACAGGAAGAGGAGAGTCCCAATTTTCCGGGGAGTGAGAGCTGACTTGCGACGAGGCATGGTGAACAAGGGTGACTGAGCCGGCGTTCCCACAATGCTATGCAGGCGCCTAGATTTTTTGTTTACGGCGCACACCCACGGCGCAGACCCATTCTCTCACATGTAGGCCTATGAGCGCTTTCGCGCTAAATTTGACGGTGCTAGAATTTTGGCGTAGATCTACGGTTTGGACACTCACCGAAAAGCCGTAGATCTACGGGACGGACCCTGAAAGCGTTAATATATTTATAAATGGGGTTGTAAGAGAAGTAAATGCAAGGGTCTTGGCAAGAGGCGTGGAGTTAAAAGATAAAGAATCACACATAAAGTGGGAGTTGTCACAATTGCTCTTTGCTGATGACACTGTGCTCTTGGGAGATTCTGAAGAGAAGTTGCAGAGGTTGGCGGATGAATTTGGTAGGATATGTAAAAGAAGAAAATTACAAGTGAATACAGGAAAGAGTAAGGTTATGAGGATAACAAAAAGATTAGGTGATGAAAGATTGGATATCAGATTGGAGGGAGAGAGTATGGAGGAGGCGAATGTATTCAGAGTATTTGGGAGTGGACGTGTCAGCGGATGGGTCTATGAAAGATGAGGTGAATCATAGAAATGATGAGGGAAAAAGGGTGAGCGGTGCACTTAGGAGTCTGTGGAGACAAAGAACTTTGTCCTTGGAGGCAAAGAGGGGAATGTATGAGAGTATAGTTTTACCAATGCTCTTATATGGGTGTGAAGCATGGGTGATGAATGTTGCAGCGAGGAGAAGGCTGGAGGCAGTGGAGATATCATGTCTGAGGGCAATGTGTGGTGTGAATATAATGCAGAGAATTCGTAGTTTGGAAGTTAGAAGGAGGTGCGGGATTGCCAAAACTGTTGTCCAGAGGGCTGAGGAAGGGTTGTTGAGGTGGTTCGGACATGTAGAGAGAATGGAGCGAAACAGAATGACTTCAAGAGTGTATCAGTCTGTAGTGGAAGGAAGGCGGGGTAGGGGTCGGCCTAGGAAAAGTTGGAGGGAGGGGGTAAAGGAGGTTTTGTGTGCGAGGGGCTTGGAATTCCAGCGGGCATGCGTGAGCGTGTTTGATAGGAGTAAATGGAGACAAATGGTTTTTAATACTTGATGTGCTGTTGGAGTGTTAGCAAAGTAACATTTATGAAGAGATTCAGGGAAACCGGCAGGCCGGACTTGAGTCTTGGAGATGGGAAGTACAGTGCCGGCACTCTGAAGGAGGGGTGTTAATGTGGCAGTTTAAAAACTGTAGTGTACAGCACCCTTCTGGCAAGACAGTGACAGAGTGAATGATGGTGAAAGTTTTTCTTTTTTGGGCCACCCTGCCTTGGTGGGAATCGGCCAGTGTTAATAAAAAAAAAAATTAAATGTTTATACAGTAGTGTACTGTATATTGAAATAAACAGAATAGGGGAAATCAGCTCTAATACACATCATTTAGGTATAAATACTGGTCAGAGAGCCCATCATAAGCCCGAGGCGTTGGTAAACGAGTACTTCACTAAGTGAGGAGAGGCTGTAATGATTAATACGTGAATCATAGTTTAAATTCAGTTAAACAGTTAGAAACACACTACAAAACGATGTACATAATCTTCCCAAAGTTAACTGGCAAAATTTTACATGTTTAGATAATTATATATAGCATGTATATACACTGAAAGGCATATATATTCCCATGCATACATACTAAAGTTTATATAAACATATTCTTGATTATTGTTTTAGTAAAATTATCAGAAATACAGCAGTTTGCGGATGCCTCTTAACAAACACTAATATTTCCAGCAAATATGAAGTTTTCCAATGACATTATGCCCAAGACATTACTTCCACCAGATTCTGGAGTTTCAAACACATTCACATTGAAATTTATCCTTCGATGCTATCTACAACAATTGACTAACACACAGGTACCCATTTTCACCACTAGGTGGTCAGGGACAATAGGGGATAATTTTTATTGTAACGAGTTTTCACTCATGGGAAGCTTTAAGGGGAGAAATGGACATGAATGAATTCACTTATTTCATTTATTTTGAAAATGTTTTGGTCCTTCAACATTGATCACATTAAATACATTTGAAATCAAGGTCCAAGGACTGAAATATCTTCAGTGAAGGTGTCTTAAATGAATGCATTCATATCCATTTCCCTCAAGTTGTCTGCAGTCATTTACCTTCTTACTGGGAAGCTTCACTAAGTTATACAGAAAACAAGGAAACTATTACTTATATAGGTGAGGACCTGAGTAATATAACTTGTGCTGCTGTATGGGTGAGGCCACATGCTGGCAGGTGGCACAGAATACTGATGAGAGATTTTGTGAGTGGGGATGCACCCTTGTTTTACTCTGTAGTACCGTAGGCCTCGAAGTATGTCACTGTCATACACTCTCTCAGTATGTTGCTACCCTATTCTATGATAAGTTACATAGGAATAAAAGCCAACTATGTTTCCCTGTAGTACTCCATTACACACTATGGGTTACACATATACAGTATAAAAATCTGTTAGCCTGAGCTTAGAGACTTCAGCAGGGCAATGAGGATGTCTTCAAGTACGTATTTTATTGAGGTTGACTAGCTACAAAAACTTCAAGGCTATCATTCCAGCATAGGTGAAATTTTACTAATAGAACCTTGAAAAAGGGAAGACTCATCTCTCTTCCTCAACGGTAAACTGCACGGGGGATTCCACTAAACTCCTCAATTTTGCGATGTTTAGGTACAACGACAAGGATGAAAACATATAGTAGTCAGGTGAGGTTCAAGGAAATATGATGGAGCAATACTCACTCACTTGGCAAGGCTGTAAGTGAAACATCACTGTAACAAAAGCTTACACTGTTTTGTGTTTTTTTTTATTCACCTGTTGGCTTACAACAATTTACTTACTAAGAGAAGTAAGGAAGCTTACCTACATTTTGAAAGGGGTTTAAACCTTGGAGTGATATTAATCCTCCCCTCAAACATCTCCTTACCAACCTCAACAGAACACATGACCATAACACAAGGCACAGATCACTCTTTGATGTTCCTCGTGTCCATCTCACACTATGCAAAAACTCAATGCACATAAAAGGCCCTAAAATCTGGAATTCATTACCTGTAAATATAAAAGAAACACTACCTGTTTATAAATTCAAGTCTCTTCTCAAAGATCACTTACTCACCCAAAACCAAATAAATACTGAATAACTGAACCTTATAAATTGTATATCTTAAATGTTTCTCACAATTATATCACATAAATGTTAAACCTAAAACCCAATCTAACTTTATTATTTTTTAAATACACTACCTAACAGAATACTCCATTCGACTGAATGTACAGTAATGCATGCAACCATATGACCTGTCTTTGTAATACTCATTTGTGCTTTATAGTTATCTGTTTACAATAATGTTTTATCACTGATTTAATCATTGCTTAGTTAATCTTAAGTTAATTTTAAGCCAGCCCGTAATGCTATGCATATAAGTGGCTTTGGCATGCTGCTCTTACCTGTATTTTTTTGTACCTCTGTATGTATGCTCAAATTACTAAATAAATAAATAAATAAATAAAGATATGCAGTTGATAAGCTTTCAACCTAATGATGAACTATTTACCATAAGATTATAACCTCAGAATTTTAATAGTGCATTGTAAACTTTACATCTGTATTCACTCTGCTTGGTAACTCATTTATCAACGAAAAGTAAACTACATACAGTAAAGGGAAGCTGGGGGCATAACACCCTATCACAAAGGATAAGTTAGCCTTGCTTACTTTCAGTCCTCTATTATCAGCACAAGGTCCTGCCCTTTGTGTGAGGGCATTCTGCAGCATACGGCATCCTCCTTTCCCCTTCACATATTCACTTTCTTGCTGTGCTGCTTCATTGTGCCTGGCAATCTGAAATAAAGATTTAAAACTTTTACATTGAATTTACAGGCTAAGAGTGAACTGCAATGACAAATAAAAGTATATAAGACTATTACAGGAACGTTTTACTCGACTAAAACATTATAAGAATAATAATGAAGGAACACTGAAATTGGACTATTTGCCAATGCTGGCAGGACCAACTCACACTCACCCACTCCCACTCTATACCTAACCAACCTATATTTAAAGCTTCCCAAAGGTATCACATCAATGACACTACCCAAGAGATTGTTCCACTCATTTACAACACTACTGCCAAACCAGCACTTCCCTATATCCCTTCTACATCTATACTAAAGATTTAGGCTTTATCATACCTTTTCATTTGCTTTGTCAACATGCTGTCTCTTCCACCATGCTAAGAGTTAGAATGAAGGCTCTATAAACAATGGACACTTTATTTAGGATTTTATTTTGATCCAGGGAAGAGGAGAAAGGCTACAATTCCCAGGACCAAGAGCCCTTACCTGGAGTATACCTTAAGGGGAGTTTTGTGGATCAATGTCCCCATGACTCACTCCATGACCAAGCCTCACAGTGGATCAGGGCCTGATCTACCAGGCTGTTACTGCTGGCCACATGTAAACTGATGTACAACCACAGCCCGGTTGGTCAGGTACTGTTTTTAGATGCCTGTCTTGTTCCTTCTTGAAGACAGCCAAAGGTTTAGAGTACTTGTGGTGCCCCTGCACTGCCTGCTGAGTCTTTAGCTTTTGTATGGAGGGATTTTCTTATGCAGATTTGGGACTATTTCCTCCAAGATTTTCCAAGTGTATATTATCAATGTATCTGTCTCGCCTGTGTTCCAAGGAGTACAGGTCAAGGGACTTTCAACTGTTCCCAGTGAATTAGGTGCATTTTTCTACGTATTTATACTATGTGCAGTGAAAGTTCTCTGTATATTCTCCAGGTCTGCAATTTTGGTTGCTTTGAAAAGGGTCGTTAGTGTACAGTAACATTCCAGCCTAGAGACAAAAAGTGATTTGAAGGGAATCATCATTGGCTTGGCAACCCTAGTTTTGAAGGTTATCATTTTTCCTCCTATCATTTTCCTAGCAGATGTGGTGGAGACATTATCTTGACCGTTGAAAGTGAGATTCTCTGACATTATCACATACACAGAAAGAGAGAATTAAGTAAGTAGGTAAGTAAGTAAGTTTATTCAGGTATACACAAATATAGTTACATAGATTATCATACATAGCAGCATGTGTAGAGAACCTGGGATAACCCAAAAAAGTCAGACAGAGTGACTTATTTCCATTGGGGTCCTTTACCTTATTATTATATAAAAGTTATAATATCTTATTATTATTCTATAATGGAAATAACATCTTATTATTATACTAAAAAGACTATCTACTACACGAGGGTCATTAAGACTATCTACAATACGAGGGTCATTACTAGGAATAAGGTAAAATTACACGTGTGTTAGCTAAAAAAATAAAAAATCATTTCCCTCCCTTTCTGAAAGAGTAAGTGATTGGTGGTGATTACCGCAAACAGTGTCTGCCAGGATGGTGCAGGTACGTGAGGTGGTGAAGGAGAGGATTCAGACTCAGTCTCCAGGTGTCTTGGAGGTGAGCATTCAGAAGAGCCTGACATCTTTATTTCTGTTGAAAAAATATAGTATTAGAGGCTATAACAACGACCATTACTCCACAACTACAACAGGAAGATGTATTATTATTATTACAGTGGACCCCCGGTTAACGATTTTAATCCGTGCAAGAGGGGTAATTGTTATGCGAAATAATCGTTATGTGAATGAATTTTCCCCATAAGAAATAATGGAAATAAAATTAATCCGTGCAAGACACCCAAAAGTATGAAAAAAAAAATTTTTTACCACATGAAATGTTAATTTTAATACACACAAACTGAAAAAGGCATGCACACTTACATGACACTTACTTTTATTGAAGATCTGGTGATGATTGATGGGATGGGAGGAGGGGAGAGCATTATCTTCTTACTGTTAGAAGGGGAATCCCCTTCCCTTAGACTTGAGGTAGCAAGTCCTTTTTTTGGGTTACTTCCCCTTTT